ATAAGCGTCAGAGGCACAGGCACGTCATTCCCCCTCCACTCCTCCACTAAATCTGATCCATCTCTCCTCTGATTCTAATTCACACTTAGAACAGATAATAACCAGAGCACAGACCCCAGTGTCTGTGACAAGCTGATGAGCCATACCCTCGCTCCTAGCCAAACACTAGCTTCCTTCCTGTTTGTGTGGGCTTCCCCGGTGTAGAAAACAACAACAACTCTGATAACGCTACAAGTATGGACTTCAGTTACTTGTCCACAGCCCATAACACTACTAGTAATTCGCATGGACAAAACACCATAACGAACGTGGGCCGCAGTAGATTACCTTCTGGATGTCAATGATCAGTGGATATTCAACGCATCTGCACAGTCTGTTTTGTTCTTAAAGAACTATGTTGCACTCAAATGTTTATAGGATGCAGGTTTTGTTCCAACATGTATCTGACATGTAAAATTTTGCTCCTGTTTCAGACCTGGCCATGAATGAGGAGACCAGGACGTGTGACTGACCGAGGAAGCTTTGACAACACAACTTCTGACAAAAGAACAATGATGCGTATCCAGGGTGGAACTGACTGTTAGCCTGGTAACCATCGCTATGGCGTTTTGCAATGGCAGCCTGCTGGCTAGGTGTGCCCCCCTGATGGAGCTGGAAGAGGAGGAAGGGGTGGTGATTTCACCACCACCGCAGCCGCCGCCAGGGGTCGGGACTACTAGTCCCCTCATGCCTGTCACCCTGCGTGTGACGCTGGCCGCTATCATGATCTTCATGATCGCCATCGGTTTCCTGGGCAACGCCATCGTGTGTCTGATCGTCTACCAGAAGCCCGCCATGCGTTCCGCCATCAACCTGCTCCTCGCCACACTGGCGTTCTCTGACATCATGCTCTCACTGCTCTGCATGCCCTTCACCGCCGTCACCGTGGCTACCGCCGACTGGCGCTTCGGGGGCGGGTTCTGCCGTGCTTCCGTCATGCTCTATTGGCTCTTTGTCCTGGAGGGCGTGTCCATCCTCCTCATCATCAGCGTAGACCGTTTTCTCATTATCGTTCAGCGGCAGGACAAGCTGACGCCACACCGCGCCAAGCTGCTCATCGTCGCTTCCTGGGCGCTGTCCCTCTGCGTGGCGCTCCCGTCCGTGATCGGCTGGCGGGTGGGCACAGCAGGTGTGACGGGCATCGGTGGGGCCTGGGCGCCACAGTGCGTGCTGGGCTACAGTGAGTCGCTGGCCGACCGCTGCTACACGGTGCTGCTGGCGGTGGCGGTGTTCTTTGTGCCGTTCGGCGTCATGCTCTACTCCTACCTATGCATCCTCAACACGGTCCGCCGCAACGCCCTGCGCATCCACAACCACACCTCTGACCAGGCCAGCCTCCCGGTCCTCAACCAGGTCAGCAAGCTGGGCCTGACCGGCCTGCAACGGCCCCCGCAGGTCAACGTGGACATGAGCTTCAAGACGCGGGCCTTCACCACCATCCTCATCCTCTTCATCGGCTTCTCTGTGTGCTGGCTGCCCCACACTGTGGTCAGTCTGTTGGCCGTGTTCAGCCGGAGGTTCTACTTCAGCCCTGCCTTCTACCCGGTCAGTGTGGGGGCTCTGTGGCTCAGCTACCTGAAGACTGTGTTTAACCCCGTCATCTACTGCTGGAGGATCAGGAAGTTCCGGGAGGCGTGTCTGGAGTTCATGCCCAAGAGCTGCAGGCTGTGTCCCAGGGTGCCAGGCCGGAGCCGCAGGAGGGTGAGACCCAGTAACATCTACGTGTGCGGTGAGACCCAGTCGGCTGTGTGACAGTAACATCTACGTGTGCGGTGAGACCCAGTCGGCTGTGTGACAGTAACATCTACGTGTGCGGTGAGACCCAGTTGGCTGTGGGACAGTAACATCTACATGTGCAGTGAGACCCAGTTGACTGTGTGACAGTAACATCTACGTATGCGGTGAGACCCAGTTGGCTATGTGGAACTAACGCTCACTCTGAGGACACGCTCTGGTAACAGTGGAAAGCAGTGGTCACCAACTCTGGTCTTGAAGCTACAGGGTGGTCCACTGGTGTAAAGGACCTGCTATACTCTCTACACGATTTGTTAAGACATCAACATTTCATCAGAATAGACGGCTTGCTGCTGAAACGTTGCTGTCTTTTGACAGATTATTTGCATCGGCGCAATAGTGGCGAGTACATTCTTGTGTTCTGTGTAAAGTGCGGTTGACACTGGACAGCCGTGAACAGAGGCACTCAAAAGTCTTTATTTCCCTTCTTCTAAAAAAAAGACATGAAGAGAAATGATGCACAACTGGGAACAGTGTTTTCTATTGAACCGTTTCCCTGGTGTTTGTATAATTGGCTGAGTACTGTTGGTGATCGTTTACCCAGATGCTTGTTGTATATGTCTAATTATACTGTATGTAAATGAAAACATTGGATAAAATTGTAAAGAAATGTTGAACAATATAAAAAAAAAATGTTTCAGTGAAGGAATAATTGATTTAATGAATGAACTAACAATCCAATTAACAGGTGTGTTGATGTCATCAACTATGCAGATGTAGCATATAGACTGAGTAGAAATGAAATAACAAATCATGTTAAACACAGTTATAACCGTTGTAAGTTGTCTACATACTGTAATAGGCTAACATTGTACCTAAAACCTAATACTGGAACTAAAATATTATATGTTGGGCATGCTGGTTGACAAAGGTTGAACCTGTTGTCGAAAACAAACCACGTACAGCCGTCCCCTGCCTCTACAATGTCAATACAATGGTTGTGTTGCTGGGATACTAAAGACCTCTATGGATTGTAGGTTGTGGAGTGCATTTATGTGTGTGAGACCCATATCTGACCCTTATCTTCCACAGCAGAACACACAGTCTGTGCTGTAGGTAATTAATCTCCATATGTACCGTGGTTAAACAGTTTACTGAGAGAAGTTCCAATCTAGGGCACGCCATGTAAACTAATTCACTTTGCGTAAGGTGTGATTATCTCAATTCTACTGCTTGAATGAAAGAAGAAAGATATGTACTACAGTACCAGTCAAAAGTTTGGACACACCTACTCAGTCAAGGGTTATTCTTTATTTTTACTATTTTCTACATTGTAGAATAATAGTGAAGACATCAGAACTATGAAATAACACATATGGAATCATGTAGTAACCAAAAAAGTGTTAAATAAAATATTTATATTTGAGATTCTTCAAAGTAGCCACCCTTTGCCTTGATGCCAGGTCTAGCATAAGTTTGCCTTACCCTAACTCATAGTCATAATAACCTTAGGCTAGACCTAAATATATCACGAAACAGGCTTTAGATCCGTCTACTGGACAGGCAAAGGTTGCTTCCTTGTCTCTGCGTCTCATTTTCATCATCAACACTGAGCTGCAAGAACTGACAGAGAAAACATCCCTGCAGATCCTTTTTATGCAACATAAAAAGGAAGTATCTACATTAAGTGTATCACTGGTTTAGTTCATGTGAAGGATACATAGACATAAGGAAAGGAAGCCATTATAATTGATTGAGACATAGCACATTTGAGCCCCCTTACCTTGATGATGAATCTGATTGGAATAAGACATCAATTAACGAGGCCTGTCAGTGCCAGTGGGGAGCGCTACATCCCGAGGGATTCGTGCTGATTGTACGGAGATTGTGACAGCCGATTAAATGGCATCCCTTGACAAGGCAAAAACAAGATGTATGTCAGGAGAAGTGCAGTATTATCATAAGGAGAGTTAATACTTGGAATACGGAGGAGGAATGGAGGGAAAAAGAAAGAGCGAGAGGATGAGGGTGAGCTTGAGGCAGAAAAAAGGGAGATGGTTTGTTAAAGAAGAATGGTAGAAAGTGTAAGCAGAGTGAGTTGAAGACAGGAGGAGAAATGGAAGTGAATAAGGGCGAAGTATCGGAGGTGGTAGGTATGGTGAAGTTCTCGGAGCCCGAGGTTTACACCAAGGGTCAGGATAAAGATGAGTCTGTGACAGCAGGAGTGAAGTTTTTGGAAAAAGTGGACCCTTGCCTTTTGGCTGATCCATTTGTGGTTTCAGGGTGGGTGAAAACAGAGTTAGGTGCTGTGGAATCGGTGAGGGTAACCAGAAGTGGACTGGTGATAATTGTTTGTGTTTCTGCCGGTCAGAGGGAGCAGGCGCTCCGTGTTAAAAGAATGGGGGCAAGAGATGTGAATTATTTTGCTCTCAAGAAAAGGGCACCATTGAACGGTTCCTAGGTGTGAGAAGTGTGCAGAAGGGCATGAGACAAACGAATGTGTAGCATAGGGGAAAGTAGTGGTATGTGTTAATTGTAGAGGTGACCATGGGGCTGGGGATCAGAAATGTCCCATGCGAGAGAGGCAGGTTGAGGTTTCCAGGGTTAGAATAGTGCAGAAGTTGTCATATGCTGAGGCAGTGAAGAAAGTAGAGGAAGATGGGTCAAGGGGGAGGGATCCTGAGAGGAGTGGTGTGAGTAGTATATCTGTACCAGTACAGAGGGATAAACCAACAAGTGATATATGTTTCAGTAAGATTGCATTTTTGACATTTATAGCAATGGTTATCAACTGCACTGCAGGGATGGAATGTAAGTCACAGAAAATAGAGGTTGTGGTGGCAGCTGCAGAGAGGTATTTGGGTGTGCGAGACTTACGTACAGGGTGTGTTAAGTGGCGGTGTCCCATCATTTCAGGCTGTTGGCCTGAAGGAGGACTACATAGATTGAAGTAGTGGAGTATGTTATTATTATTATTTTGTAAAAATATTTTGTGAGTGTAGTGTTAAATGGTAGAGTATTAGTATTATATATATATTTATTATTATTATTTTATTTTTTAAAGTAAAAAGTAAAGCAAAGTATAAGGGAGTTATACTCCAGTCTAGTAGGTGGCGGTAATGCAACATGTATTGGCTGCCAACCGCCGTTAAACCTAATCGAAGAAGAAGATAAATCTGATTGATGGAACAGCTGAAATACGTCACGACCAGACGTAGAGGATGCTTGGGGGGTGGGGGGGCAAAGATGGCGGGCTCCAGCGACATGGGACGTGAAGGGAAAGACAAATCTCAGGATAGAGGCGCTTCTAACGCAGAACTCTTACTACACCCCGAGCTCCTGTCTCAGGAGTTCATCCAGTTGGTTCTGAATGAGGTAAGAGACGAATCAGGGCTGAATTTGAACATTGATTTAGCGCTAGTCAGCTAGGTAGCCAGCTAGCTTGTATTGTAGCCAAAAAGGTCTGCTGATTTATAATATAATAATATAATATGCCATTTAGCAGACGCTTTTATCCAAAGTGACTTACAGTCATGTGTGCATACATTTTTACGTATGGGTGGTCCTGGGGATCGAACCCACTACCCTGGCGTTACAAGTGCCATGCTCTACTAATTGAGCTACAGAGGACCACCCATTTAGCTAGTTAGCTATTTGCACCAGCGTCAGAACACTAAAGAGGCCATGCAAAAGCAGCATGTTGGAAATATCGACAGGAAAATATTATTAAACCAACTTTCAAAATGCGTGGCTCATGGTTTGTTTGTTTAGAGTCGGATGTGTTTAGTTTATTACCTGACGCATGCGTATACAATGACCTCGTGCAAGTTTTTAGATGGTTTGTGCGCATGCGTCAGGTGTACCCGGGGTGTATTCATTAGTACACACCGTAGCAAAATGTTTCTTATTGAACAGCTAGCTAGGTCTTCCCTGTTTTGGCTCCAGTTTATGATTAGTGTCAGCTGTTGGTTTTGATGAGGCTCTAACTAACACGTGACATGTTCTGGCCCCTGTCCTGGACAGAAAAAGATAACCACCGGAGACTATGGGAGCCGCGTCCAGCTCACGGATCTCTACCTCCGGCACGTCATCCCCCTCCCGCAGAGAGCGCTGCCAAACAACCGCTGGGGAAAGAGGATGGAGCAGACCCGAGCGCGACAGAGCACAGACAGTGGACAGTCTCATAGGTGGGGAGAGGATAAGTTTCTCTAAAACCTGAAATCACCAAGGTGTCTGGACCTTTCTATAACATGCCATTTACATAAAAAAAATAGAGATTTGGTTGTAACAAAGAGAACTTCTCCATTAACTCTGTTACATTGACAATAAAAAAATGTCACTGACTTTACAAAAAGATAAACTGAGTTTGAAAAAGGAGATTTGAAAACCGTACATATTGAGATGAGCGTGATGCAAGACTTTGCTTTCAGAGTATTTGTGCATGGGTACGCTCATGCTGCTCCAACGTGGGAGCTGTTGGACCAAAACAGTGGAAAAGTTGAGCCTGTTAGTTGTTGAGGAAATCAGCCCGATATGAAAGAATATCTCTCTGCAGTTTGATGGCCACAGACATTTTGCTGTTGATGCTCTTACCACAGTCAAATCCAACGACTCCACAATGATACACAGCATTTCCATAGTAACAGACTTACGCTGAGACTCAGATTTTTCACTTTAAAATGTATACCAAACAAAAATCATTCATTTCAGATTTTTACAAATTTGCACTACTTTTAACAATTTCCACAGAGAATTGTACAAAAACCCATTTACAGGAAGAGTGGTGCAGATACAAAGTTTAGTAACAGATTAAATCTGAGGCCAAGTTTTGCATCTGAAGTTTTTTCCAGAAAATGTATTTATATTTTACTGTGTCAATTGTTTAAAGTAGTGTTTGGCATGCATTTAGAAGTGAGAAATCTGTGTAATTGCCTCAGTCAGTATGTCCTGTTTTGTCTTGCAGCTCCGGTAACGACCACAACAGGAAGAGGCCTCTGATCGGGTTCGATGGCAGCTCCTCTAAAGTTGGCCCCGTCAGACTGAAGAAGCCAGAGGGTCAGACCTCAGGGTCTGGGGTGACAGACAGATTCAAGCCCCCTCCCTCCATGAACCTCTTCAAGCCCATACGCAAGCTGTCCAGCACCACCCCTACCCCCTCCTCGTCCTCCCACAGCACAGGAGGCCCCCACAGGAGTCCCACAGGGAACAAGGGTCCGGGGAGCCCCCCCACCTCGGTTAATCTCAAACGGGAGGCAGACAGCTCGGTATGCAACCTCAGTATCTACTGGTTTATGTGAAATATTTTTCTAAAGATAATGTTTTTCTGGTCACCAACTGTGGTCCTGGAGAGCTACAGGCTGCAGGATTTTGGATTCAGCTAATAGTATATTTAAGCAATAAGGCACGAGGGGGTGTGGTATCTGGCCAATATACCACGGCTAAAGGCTGTTCTTATGCACGACGCAATGCAGTGCCTTATTGCTATTATAAACTGGTTACCAATGTAATTAGAACAGTAAAAAGTAATTTTGGGTTATACCCGTGGTATACGATCTGCTATACCACGGCTTTCATCCAATCAGCATTCAGTGCTCGAACCACCCGGTTGATAAATAATAATACACTGCTCAAAAAAATAAAGGGAACACTAAAATAACACATCCTAAATCTGAATGAATGAAATAATCTTATTAAATACTTTTTTCTTTACATAGTTGAATGTGCTGACAACAAAATCACACAAATTATCAATGGAAATCAAATGTATCAACCCATGGAGGTCTGGATTTGGAGTCACCCTCAAAATTTAAGTGGAAAACCACACTACAGGCTGATCCAACTTTGATGTAATGTCCTTAAAACAAGTCAAAATGAGGCTCAGTAGTGTGTGTGGCCTCCACGTGCCTGTATGACCTCCCTACAACGCCTGGGCATGCTCCTGATGAGGTGGCGGATGGTCTCCTGAGGGATCTCCTCCCAGACTGGACTAAAGCATCCGCCAACTCCTGGACAGTCTGTGGTGCAACGTGGCGTTGGTGGATGGAGCGAGACATGATGTCCCAGATGTGCTGAATTGGATTCAGGTCTGGGGAACGGGCGGGCCAGTCCATAGCATCAATGCCTTCCTCTTGCAGGAACTGCTGACACACTCCAGCCACATGAGGTCTAGCATTGTCTTGCATTAGGAGGAACCCAGGGCCAACCGCACCAGCATATGGTCTCACAAGGGGTCTGAGGATCTCATCTCGGTACCTAATGGCAGTCAGGCTACCTCTGGCGAGCACATGGAGGGCTGTGCGGCCCCCCAAAGAAATGCCACCCCACACCATGACTGACCCACTGCCAAACCGGTCATGCTGGAGGATGTTGCAGGCAGCAGAACGTTCTCCATGGCGTCTCCAGACTCTGTCACGTGCTCAGTGTGAACCTGCTTTCATCTGTGAAGAGCACAGGGCGCCAGTGGCGTATTTGCCAATCTTGGTGTTCTCTGGCAAATGCCAAACGTCCTGCACGGTGTTGGGCTGTAAGCACAACCCCCACCTGTGGACGTCGGGCCCTCATACCACCCTCATGGAGTCTGTTTCTGACTGTTTGAGCAGACACATGCACATTTGTGGCCTGCTGGAGGTCATTTTGCAGGGCTCTGGCAGTGCTCCTCCTTGCACAAAGGCGGAGGTAGCAGTCCTGCTGCTGGGTTGTTGCCCTCCTACGGCCTCCTCCACGTCTCCTGATGTACTGGCCTGTCTCCTGGTAGCGCCTTCATGCTCTGGACACTACGTTGACAGACACAGCAAACCTTCTTGCTACAGCTCGCATTGATGTGCCATGCTGGATGAGCTGCACTGCCTGAGCCACTTGTGTGGGTTGTAGACTCTGTCTCATGCTACCACTAGAGTGAAAGCACCGCCAGCATTCAAAAGTGACCAAAACATCAGCCAGGAAGCATAGGAACTGAGAAGTGGTCTGTGGTCACCACCTGCAAAACCAGTCCTTTATTGGGGGTGTCTTGCTAATTGCCTAGAATTTCCACCTGTTGTCTATTCCATTTGCACAACAGCATGTGAAATCAGTGTTGCTTCCTAAGCAATCAGTGTTGCTTCCTAAGTGGACAGTTTGATTTCACAGAAGTGTGATTGACTTGGAATTACATTGTGTTGTTTAAGTGTTCCCTTAATTTTTTTGAGCAGTGTATATTATAATCAGGGCCCTGATGATTTAGTTGAATCCGTTTTTTTACAGTTGCACTGGACCGAAAGCTTTCACATTCGGTAGCTTTCCAGGACCAGGGTTGGTGACTGCTGTCATGGGCTATTTTACTGACTTTTTGGGAATGTTGAGGTTATTGTGAAGCAGATCTTTGAATGTCATCTGAACTGAGAATGTTGTCTGAATCTGATCTGTGAATGTCGTCGGTGATCGTCTCTCTGTCTCTGCAGGATGAACTCAAAGACAAGAAAAAGATCAAAAAAGTGACATGGCCCTGACCCTTGACCCTACCGAGAGACCCATCACTCCACTATAGAGCAGTGATGAGCCCCCTCACACTGCAGGGAATTCTCTGCCAGTCGGGACAACCACAGAACTACTCTAATTTTTGGGGTGGCGACTTCAGTCCTCATTTACCTACCTGGACCCCGGAACTACTCTCTGACTCTTTACCTGACCCTCAAGTGTCCTTACAGTGAGTACTCTGCTCCTGTCCCACAGCACCCTCCCATGGAGCCAGACCACAGCACCCTCCCATGGAGCCAGACCACAGCACCCTCCCATGGAACTAGAGTTAACTGGGACTATACTGACTTACTGCAGGCATGGCACCACAATATTTCTATGTCCATAAGTATTTTGTGGAATAAGCAGTTTAACCCTCAATACTGTTCTATGCATTATAATTCTGTGATGTCACCTACCTGAAATCCTCTTAGAGTAGTTTCAGAGTTCAGTCTTCCAGTGCTGGTTAGAGAGCTTGAGTTAAGGAGGCTGATTGTGCTTAACTTGATAGGAAACCTTTGGGTCTGCAATGCTAAGTGCTTATGCATCTTCATATGTCTGTGTGGCCGTACCATATCCACATGTATTGCAAACAGTGGGTCATGACAGGTTAGGGATTGTAAGTGTTTTGATAGTGATTAGGTAGGGTCCTCAGTAGGGGGAAACATCGCCACTGGCCGCCCCACCACCGTTATTGTTTTTGTTGCCGAGCTGAGGAGCGTCGTCATAGTAAAACTAATTGTAGTACATATTGTGCTCTTCTATCGTGCGTGCAATGATGTCAGAGTGGGTAACTTATTTGTTCCTGTTTCACCATTTTTAATGATTCCAGCTTTATTGTATTAGTACTGTGACACTTGAATTTGTAATGGGATGTTTAGCTAGTGTGTATTGCCTTGTATGAAGCCTTGAGTGGGGGTGCATTTGAATGAAATGGAGGTGAACAACTAGATGGTGCCAGAGAATCAGTCCTTCATGATTTGCAAGTGCCTGAGAAAGACGTTGCTCCTGGTCTAGGATCATATTAGCCAACCTTGAATCCTACCCTTAACCATTAGGGCATCAAAGCATACCTGACCCAGGACCAGCAGTTAGGGGCAACTTGTACCAACTCGATGGCATTGTTCAGTGTTTCTCAAATATGCATTTAGCCGCCACTGCAATTTTATAATGTAGATGTATAGAGGAAGTCCCCATCCACTGCACCTTATTGGACCCCATCCTCTGCTAACTCTGCCACCGCAGCTGAAAAAACTCCTAGAGGAAACAGTGTTGTTAACTTCATGTCACTTCCTTAGTCATACAAGGTGTTCAGCAGTTGGTGTATTTTTATAGTTCTTTATTTGGACTTCAGACACTGACTTTCCATCGGAGCCTTTGGAAAATGACTGAGGGCTCTCACTTCAATAGTCACTAATGGGTCAGTGTTACCAAGCATTTGCACCAGTGTCAGTCAAATGTATACTTGTTGGGGGTGATAATAAACAGAGCTTAAAAACCAAACGGTCATTATTTACAATTTGGTTAATAACATTTATTTTTCTTGTAGCTTTTGTTTTATTCCCATCTGAATAACATTACAAACTTTGCAGCAGGGTAAATCCCAGTAAACCTGTTTCTTTGTGAGTTAGTTCACATTTCACAACTTTGGGACTTATGCTCCTTAATAAATAAATAGCCTTTAAAATCTTAGGTATAGTTCACCCAAATTACAGAATTACATATTTGTTTCCATAAACTGCGATAATTGTGTAATTCTGGTGAACTATTCCTTTAAATACATAAACTCTGAATATATGAATCTTTATAAGTATATAATAGATTATGACAGCTGACATTCATGCACTAAACCTCACTGATATTTTATGTATCAAGCCAGGGCATGCAGAAAGCAATATTTGCTGTTGCACTCCAAAAAACAGTCAAATGTATAGTTTTGAACTCAAATAGTATATGGGGTTAGTAGTCTAATAGTGGGTGTGTTCCTCTGCCCAGGCATTGCTGATGTATGCCAGATCTTACAATGCTTGGATAGCTATTTTACGTATCAGCTAACCACATGTTATAGCAATCTGATGCTGGACTGCCCAGTCGATGACATGGCAACTAATCATTGGTTGATGCATGCAACGTCCGAGCAGGGGAACGCAACCATTATCTTGTGTTCACGTCATATACAGTGAGGGGAAACAAGTATTTGATCCCCTGCTGATTTTGTACGTTTGCCCACTGACAAAGACATGATCAGTCTATAATTTTAATGGTAGGTTTATTTGAACAGTGAGAGACAAATAACAACAAATCCAGAAAAACGCATGTCAAAAATGTTATACATTGATTTGCATTTTAATGAGGGAATTAAGTATTTGACCCCTCTGCAAAACATGACTTAGTACTTGGTGGCAAAACCCTTGTTGGCAATCACAGAGGTCAGACGTTTCTTGTAGTTGGCCACCAGGTTTGCACACATCTCAGGAGGGATTTTGTCCCACTCCTCTTTGCAGATCTTCTCCAAGTCATTAAGGTTTCGAGGCTGACGTTTGGCAACTCGAACCTTCAGCTCCCTCCACAGATTTTCTATGGGATTAAGGTCTGGAGACTGGCTAGGCCACTCCAGGACCTTAATGTGCTTCTTCTTGAGCCACTCCTTTGTTGCCTTGGCTGTGTGTTTTGGGTCATTGTCATGCTGGAATACCCATCCACGACCCATGTTCAATGCCCTGGCTGAAGGAAGGAGGTTCTCAACCAAGATTTGACGGTACATGGCCCCGTCCATCGTCCCTTTGATGCGGTGAAGTTGTCCTGTCCCCTTTGCAGAAAAACACCCCCAAAGCATAATGTTTCCACCTCCATGTTTGACGGTGGGGATGGTGTTCTTGGGGTCATAGGAAGCATTCCTCCTCCTCCAAACACGGCGAGTTGAGTTGATGCCAAAGAGCTCCATTTTGGTCTCATCTGACCACAACAGTTTCACCCAGTTCTACTCTGAATCATTCAGATGTTCATTGGCAAACTTCAGACGGGCCTGTATATGGGGGACCTTGCAGGCGCTGCAGGATTTCAGTCCTTCACGGCGTAGTGTGTTACCAATTGTTTTCTTGGTGACTATGGTCCCAGCTGCCTTGAGATCATTGACAAGATCCTCCCGTGTAGTTCTGGGCTGAATCCTCACCGTTCTCATGATCATTGCAACTCCACGAGGTGAGATCTTGCATGGAGCCCCAGGCCGAGGGAGATTGACAGTTCTTCTGTGTTTCTTCCATCTGCGAATAATCGCACCAACTGTTGTCACCTTCTCACCAAGCTGCTTGGCGATGGTCATGTAGCCCATTCCAGCCTTGTGTAGGTCTACAATCTCCGACATCCTTGGAGAGCTCTTTGGTCTTGGCCATGGTGGAGAGTATGGAATCTGATTGATTGATTGCTTCTGTGGACAGCTGTCTTTTTATACAGGTAACAAACTGAGATTAGGAGCACTCCCTTTAAGAGTGTGCTCCTAATCTCAGCTCGTTACCTGTATGAAAGACACCTGGGAGAAAGAAATCTTTCTGATTGAGAGGGGGTCAAATACGTATTTCCCTCATTTAGAATGCAAATCAATTTATAACATTTTTGACATGTGTTCTTCTAGATTTTGTTGTTGTTATTCTGTCACTCACTGTTCAAATAAACCTACCATTAAAATTGTAGACTGATCATTTCTTTGTCAGTGGGCAAATGTACAAAATCAGCAGGGGATCAAATACTTTTTTCCCTCACTGTATACAGTGATACTCAGTTGTGCTCTGATAAGTCGTTGTTGGGACTCTATTACTTCCTGGTTGTTTCGTTACTATCCAATCAGATGTCTTTGCCGCACTCGGGGCACAGGATGTCGTCACGCTCGGTGAGGAAACCCCGGCCAACTAGGGAGACGGAGCACTTCTTACAGTTGAAGCAGTCGTTGTGCCACTGGCGCTCTTCAAATGAGATGTACTTACTGCCACCCAGACCTGAGAGAGACAGGAAGAGATGAACACATACTGTAATCAAAAGGTGAGGGATGTCTCTGCATCCTAAAACATAAATGGAGGAAACCGTAGAGCAGATATACTGCACCTTGCTTTCTCTAACCCAATTACATAGATCAGTGATTGGGGAGGGAGGAAAGGAGGAGACATTTAGTAAGGATTCAAACAGGGCCACAGTGTACAGCGTGATGGGTGAGTAAGTGATTGACTGACAGACTTACTGCTTATAAGTTAAAACTGATTTAAAAGTGAGTATCTAATTGACTGACTGACTCACTCTGTTAGAGAGACAGGGTGTGTTCTGGTACACAATTTAATCGCAGGTCTGCACAGATGATCAGATCGTTATATCATGTTCGTTTAGTTCCTGATACACTAAGCACTAGTCCACGTGTTGTAAAGATCTAATAATCGGTGCATGACCTGAGCAGAAAACGTGCGTCTGGAACAGATGGAGAGATAGTTTACCGCTGATGGGGGTGGTGCAGGAGACACACTTCTTAGCGTACAGGTTGCAGAAACAGTTGAGGCAGTAGGCAAAGTCATCACGGGAGGTGAAGCGCTGGCCAGACAGCTGCTGCTTGCAGCCGGTGCACAGGAAGCAGTCCTTATGCCAGGGCTGGTCGCGATAGGTCACCCCACCAGTAGTGATGGGCTATTATAGGGAGAGACAGATACACACACATCAAACACATTCGACCATACACACACACACACACACGTGCACAGTGACTGCACACAAGTGAGCACATACAGTCGGGAAAAAAAGTATTTAGTCAGCCACCAATTGTGCAAGTTCTCCCACTTAAAAAGATGAGAGAGGCCTGTAATTTTCATCATAGGTACACGTCAACTATGACAGACAAATTGAGAGAAAAAGAATCCAGAAAATCACATTGTAGGATTTTTTATGAATTTATTTGCAAATTATGGTGGAAAATAAGTATTTGGTCACCTACAAACAAGCAACATTTCTGGCTCTCACAGACCTGTAACTTCTTCTTTAAGAGGCTCCTCTGTCCTCCATTCGTTACCTGTATTAATGTCACCTGTTTGAACTTGTTATCAGTATAAAAGACACCTGTCCACAACCTCAAACAGTCACACTCTAAACTCCACTATGGCCAAGACCAAAGAGCTGTCAAAGGACACCAGAAACAAAATTGTAGACCTGCACCAGGCTGGGAAGACTGAATCTGCAATAGGTAAGCAGCTTGGTTTGAAGAAATCAACTGTGGGAGCAATTATTAGGAAATGGAAGACATACAAGACCACTGATAATCTCCCTCGATTTGGGGCTCCACGCAAGATCTCACCCCGTGGGGTCAAAATGATCACAAGAACGGTGAGCAAAAATCCCAGAACCACACGGGGGGACCTAGTGAATGACCTGCAGAGAGCTGGGACCAAAGTAACAAAGCCTACCATCAGTAACACACTACGCCGCCAGGGACTCAAATCCTGCAGTGCCAGACGTGTCCCCCTGCTTAAGCCAGTACATGTCCAGGCCCGTCTGAAGTTTGCTGGTGTGCATTTGGATGATCCAGAAGAGGATTGGGAGAATGTCATATGGTCAGATGAAACCAAAATATAACTTTTTGGTAAAAACTCAACTCGTCGTGTTTGGAGGACAAAGAATGCTGAGTTGCATCCAAAGAACACCATACCTACTGTGAAGCATGGGGTGGAAACATCATGCTTTGGGGCTGTTTTTCTGCAAAGGAACCAGGACGACTGATCCGTGTAAAGGAAAGAATGAATGGGGCCATGTATCGTGAGATTTTGAGTGAAAACCTCCTTCCATCAGCAAGGGCATTGAAGATGAAACGTGGCTGGGTCTTTCAGCATGACAATGATCCCAAACACACCGCCCGGGCAACGAAGGAGTGGCTTCGTAAGAAGCATTTCAAGGTCCTGGAGTGGCCTAGCCAGTCTCTAGATCTCAACCCCATAGAAAATCTTTGGAGGGAGTTGAAAGTCCGTGTTGCCCAGCGACAGCCCCAAAACATCACTGCTCTAGAGGAGATCTGCATGGAGGAATGGGCCAAAATACCAGCAACAGTGTGTGAAAACCTTGTGAAGACTTACAGAAAACGTTTGACCTGTGTCATTGCCAACAAAGGGTATATAACAAAGTATTGAGAAACTTTTGTTATTGACCAAATACTTATTTTCCACCATAATTTGCAAATAAATTCATTAAAAATCCTACAATGTGATTTTCTGGATTTTTTTTTCTCTCATTTTGTCTGTCATAGTTGACGTGTACCTATGATGAAAATTACAGGCCTCTCTCATCTTTTTAAGTGGGAGAACTTGCACAATTGGTGGCTGACTAAATACTTTTTTCCCCACTACACACACACTACAAACCAGGCACCAACAGATACCAGATTTTAGCGGTTACAGCAATCCATTTAATAAATTGCCACGTGAATGGATAATGATTACACTTATGTACACATAAAGTGCTAATCGATCTTGCTCTAGTCTTGCCTGCCAGATTCACAGCCAATCTTTCAGCAGTTGTAGAAATAGCCCTGTTTTCTATCTGTATGATGTATACACCACTTTAGAGGACAGAAAAAGTGAGGAAGAGAAACTACAGTATGTACACTAAGGTCATGACCTTTGACCTACTTTCTTGCAGTGCACACACTGCATGGCAAACTGTTTCTCGTAGCAGGGCACACAGAAGTTGTGGTTCTCCTTGGGGATGAAACTCTTGGTGCCGATGGGCTGCTGGCAACGCTGGCAGGTGAAGCAGGTCTCATGCCAGCTGTTACCCTTATGCTCCATCTTCCTGGAACCTGCAGGGAGGGAGGGCGGGAGGGAGAGAGAGAGAGAGGGAAAGAGAGAGAGAGAGAGAGAGAGAGAGAGAGGGTGGGTGGGTGGGTAACGGAATTAGGGAGTATAGAGAATGAAGAGTGCGAAAGAGGATCAAATCTTATTTGCCACATGCGCCAAATACAACAGGTGTAGACATTACCGTGAAATACTTACTTACAGCCCTTAAGCAACAATGCATTTATTTCTTAATAAAAAAAGTAAAATAAAACAACAACAAAAAAGTGTTGAGAAAAAAAGAGGGCATGTATATGTGCTTTCTTGAGCAGGGGGAACTTGTGGGCGCTCCAGGATTTCAGTCCTTCACGGCGTAGTGTGTTACCAATTGTTTTCTTGGTAACTATGGTCCCAGCTGCCTTGAGATCAATGACAAGATCCTCACGTGTAGTTCTGGGCTGATTCCTCACCGTTCTCATGATCATTGCAACTCCACGAGGTGAGAACTTGCATGGAGCCCCAGGCGGAGGGAGATTGACAGTTCTTTTGTGTTTCTTCCATTTGCGAATAATCGCACCAACTGTTGTCACCTTCTCACCAAGCTACTTGGCGATGGTCTTGTAGCCCATCCCAGCCTTGTGTAGGTCTACAATCTTGTCCCTGACATCCTTGGAGAGCTCGTTGGTCTTGGCCATGGTGGAGAGTTTGGAATCTGATTGATTGATTGATTGCTTCTGTGGACAGGTGACTTTTATACAGGTAACAAGCTGAGATTAGGAGCACTCCCTTTAAGAGTGTGCTCCTAATCTCAGCTCATTACCTGTATAAAAGACACCTGGGAGCCAGAAATATTTCTGATTGAGACGGGGTCAAATACTTATTTCCCTCATTAAAATGCAAATCAATTTATAACATTTTTGACATGCGTTTTTCTGGATTTTGTTGTTGTTATTCTGTCTCTCACTGTTCAAATAAACCTACCATTCAAATTATAGACTGATCATTTCTTTGTCAGTGGGCAAACGTACAAAATCAGCAGGGGATCAAATACTTTTTCCCGTCACTGTACATGTGGGTAGAGTTAAAGTGACTATGCATAAATAATTAACAGAGTAGCAGGATCTAGACTTGGCACTCCGGTACCGCTTGCCGTGCGGTAGCAGAGAGAACAGTCTATGACTAGGGTGGCTGGAGTCTTTGACAATTTTGAGGGCCTTCCTCTGACACCGCCTGGTATAGAGGTCCTGGATGGCAGGAAGCTTGGCCCCAGTGATGTACTGGGCCGTACGCACTACCCTCTGTAGTGTCTTGCGGTCGGAGGCCGAGCAGTTGCCATACCAGGCGGTGATGCAACCAGTCAGGATTCTCTCGATGGTGCAGCTGTATAACTTTTTGAGGATCTGAGGACCCATGCCAAATCCTTTCAGTCTCCTGAGGGGGAATAGGCTTTGTCGTGCCCTCTTCACGACTGTCTTGGTGTGTTTGGACCATGATAGTTCATTGGTGATGTGGACACCAAGGAACTTGAAGCTCTCAACCTGTTCCACTACAGCCCCGTCGATGAGAATGGGGGCGTGCTCAGTTCTCTTTTTTCCACCCTGTAGTCCACAATCATCTCCTTTGTCTTGGTCACGTTGAGGGAGAGGTTGTTATCCTGGCACCACATGGCCAGGTCTCTGACCTCCTCCCTATAGGCTGTCTCATTGTTGTTGGTGATCAGGCCTACCACTGTTGTGTCGTCGGCAAACTTAATGATGGTGTTGGAGTCGTGCCTGGCCATGCAGTCATGGGTGAACAGGGAGTAGAGGAGGGGACTGAGCACGCACTCCTGAGGGGCCCCCGTGTTGAGGATCAGCGTGGCAGATGTGTTGTTACCTACCACCTGGAGGCGGCCCGTCAGGAAGTCCAGGATCCAGTTGCAAAGGGAGGTGTTTAGTCCCAGGATCCTTAGCTTAGTGATGAGCTTTGAGGGCACTATGGTGTTGAACGCTGAGCTGTAGTCAATGATACACACAATACTCAGTCCTTGAGTAGCACACACATTCCCTCACTGTGCCCCCTCAGAGTTGCTCTCTAGAATACTGCCTGGGGGTCTTTCTATAAAAAACATTAGGGACAGAGAGGCATTGTTGTGTTCAAGGAAGTCTGGAGATAATTTATACAGTATCTATATACAGTGTTTCTGCTCTGCTGCACACAGACCTCACCAGAGTAGATTTACACTGACTGCCTGACTGTATGTCTGTCTGGGAGAAGCACCATCCCAAGGGCTTATAGTAATGAGGATATTTAAAGACGTAGATTAGTTAGAATCATCCAAAACTTTTGAGTTTAGTCCTGGCTATACACACTACTACTACTACTACTACTACTACTACTACTATTACCACCACTACTACTAATATTGGTACTACTACTACTACTACTACTATTACTACTACTACTACTGCTAATGTTACCACCACTACTACTACTACTGGTACTACTACTACTACTACTATTATTACCACTACTACTACCACCACCACTACTACTACTACTACTACTACTACTACTATCACCACTACTACTACTACTGCTAATATTAACACCACGACTACTACAAATACTACTACTACTAGTACTAGTACTACTACTACTATTACCACCACCACTACTACTACTGCTACTATTACTACTACTATTACCACCACTACTACTACTACTGGTACTAATACTACTACTACTACTACTACTACTACTACTACTACCACTACTACTACTAGTACTACTACTGGTACTAATACTACTACTACTACTACTACTACTACTGGTACTACTACTACTACTACCACTACTACTACGGGTACTACCACTACTACTACGGGTACTATTACTACTACTACTACTATTACTACCACTACTACTACTACTACTACTGGTACTACCACTACTACTACTGGTACTACTACTACTACTACTACTACTTACTACTACTACTACTACTCTACTACTACTCTACTACTGCTACTACTACTACTACTACTACTACTACTGCTACTACTACTACTACTACTACTACTACTACTTACTACTACTACCTACTGTATCTACTGTACTACTACTACTACTACTACTATCTACTCCTACTGGTAATCTACTACTATTATACTACTACTACTACTTACTACTACTACTACTACTACTACTACTCCTACTTAATCCTACTGGTATGCTACTTGTCCTACTACTACTACTCTACTACTACTACTCCTACTGGTATACGTTGTACTACTATACTACTACTACTACTACTACTACTAACTACTACACTACTACTACTACTCCTACTGGTAATACTAACTTGTACTACTATTACTAACTACTACTACTACACTACTACTACCTACTGCTCTACTACTACTGCTACTACTACTCTCCCTAGTGGTAAAATACACTTGTACTACTTCTACTATTACTACTACTACTACTACTACTACTACTACTACTACTACTACTACTACTACTACCACTCAAACAAATCAACTCAAAATGTCAGGGCTGTAGAATAACATCACTTCATAAAGATTATTGGTATTTCGTTTTTAATTGATTTAATTGATTTTTAACAGATCTAAATTGTGTTTGCAACAATTATGAAGGTTTGTGTACTCTGTGTAGTCTGTGTACATGCCTGTGTGCACGTCTGTGTGTGTGTTTAGTATATGTAGATTAGATACATGTAGGTGTAGGTTCTCACCAGGCATGATGGTCTTCTTGCACTCGTGGCACTTGGAGGAGTACTCGTTGGAGTAGCACTCAGTGCAGAGCAGCTGGTCATCCTTGGTGGAGAAGGGCTTGTCCACCAGAGAGCGTTTACACTGGAAGCACTGGAAACACTCCTCATGCCAGTGGCGGTCCTTATAGGAAAGGTCCTACGGAGGCAACAGAGGGACAATCACAATCTGACTGTCAGACAGCACACTTTGATAATGTTCTTGGATGGAAGGTAAAAAAAAGAGAGACAGTGCTAGTGGTACATCCCTATTTGCATGTGTCATGCAATGCATACGTGTGTGTGTGTGTGTGTGTTCCTACCCTGGTGTTGCAGCCGATGGGTTTCTTGCAGTCCTCACAGGTGTTGGAGTATAGGCTCTCATAGCATTTGACACAGTATGGGTTCTCCTCTCTCAGGACGTACTTCTTCCCAAACAGGGATTCCTTACAGTAGTGGCAGTCATAGCGCTCCGTCATCTTTGCACTGGGAATCCCACCTCGCTAACCTGAGGAGAGGGGAGAGTGAGAGTTTGGGAATATCAATTGTCCTACTACTATACAACCCATAACAGTCTAAGCCCTGTCTAAGCCAGAGGGGGAGGGGGTCTACTAAGCTACAGTGGGGAAAAAAAGTATTTAGTCAGCCACCAATTGTGCAAGTTCTCCCACTTAAAAAGATGAGAGAGGCCTGTCATTTTCATCATAGGTACACGTCAACTATGACAGACAAAATGAGAAAAAAAAATCCAGAAAATCACATTGTAGGATTTTTAATGAATTTATTGGCATATGATGGTGGAAAATAAGTATTTGGTCAATAACAAAAGTTTCTCAATGCTTTGTTATATACCCTTTGTTGGCAATGACACAGGTCAAACGTTTTCTGTAAGTCTTCACAAGGTTTTCACACACTGTTGCTGGTATTTTGGCCCATTCATCCATGCAGATCTCCTCTAGAGCAGTGATGTTTTGGGGCTGTCGCTGGGCAACACAGACTTTCAACTCCCTCCAAAGATTTTCTATGGGGTTGAGATCTGGAGACTGGCTAGGCCACTCCAGGACCTTGAAATGCTTCTTACGAAGCCACTCCTTCGTTGCCCGGGCGGTGTGTTTGGGATCATTGTCATGCTGAAAGACCCAGCCACGTTTCATCTTCAATGCCCTTGCTGATGGAAGGAGGGTTTCACTCAAAATCTCACGATACATGGCCCCATTCATTCTTTCCTTTACACGGATCAGTCGTCCTGGTCCCTTTGCAGAAAAACAGCCCCAAAGCATGACGTTTCCAACCCCATGCTTCACAGTAGGTATGGTGTTCTTTGGATGCAACTCAGCATTCTTTGTCCTCCAAACATGACGAGTTGAGTTTTTTACCAAAAAGTTATATTTTGGTTTCATCTGACCATATGACATTCTCCCAATCCTCTTCTGGATCATCCAAATGCACTTCAGACGGGCCTGGACATGTACTGGCTTAAGCAGGGGGACACGTCTCGCACTGCAAGATTTGAGTCCCTGGCGGCGTAGTGTGTTACTGATGGTAGGCTTTGTTACTTTGGTCCCAGCTCTCTGCAGGTCATTCACTAGGTCCCCCCGTGTGGTTCTGGGATTTTTGCTCACCGTTCTTGTGATCATTTTGACCCCACTGGGTGAGATCTTGCGTGGAGCCCCAGATCGAGGGAGATTATCAGTGGTCTTGTATGTCTTCCATTTCCTAATAATTGCTCCCACAGTTGATTTCTTCAAACCAAGCTGCTTACCTATTGCAGATTCAGTCTTCCCAGACTGGTGCAGGTCTACAATTTTGTTTTTGGTGTCCTTTGACAGCTCTTTGGTCTTGGCCATTGTGGAGTTTGGACTGTGACTGTTTGAGGTTGTGGACAGGTGTCTTTTATACTGATAACAAGTTCAAACAGGTGCCATTAATACAGGTAACGAGTGGAGGACAGAGGAGCCTCTTAAAGAAGAAGTTACAGGTCTGTGAGAGCCAGAAATCTTGCTTGTTTGTAGGTGACCAAATACTTATTTTCCACCATAATTTGCAAATAAATTCATTAAAAATCCTACAATGGGATTTTCTGGATTTTTTTTTCTCAACTTGTCTGTCATAGTTGACGTGTACCTATGATGAAAATTACAGGCCTCTCTCATCTTTTTAAGTGGGAGAACTTGCACAATTGGTGGCTGACTAAATACTTTTTTCCCCCACTGTATATGGAATTGTTTTAAGAATGTCATACCAAGGATCATTTAGCTATTTGATTTAGAATTTTAAGACCCCTTAAAGTACCCCAAAAATATACAGTACCAGTCAAAAGTTTGGACACACCTACTCATTCAAGGGTTTTTCTTTATTGTTACTATTTTCTACATTGTAGAATAATAATGAAGACATCAATACTATGAAATGACACATATGGAATCATATAGTAACCAAAAAAGTGTTAAACAAACCAAAATATATTTTATATTTGAGATTCTTCAAAGTAGCCACATTTTGCCTTGATGACAGCTTTGCACACTCTTGGCATTCTCTCAACCAGCTTCATGAGGTAGTCACCTGGAATGCATTTCAATTAACAGGTGTGCCTTGTTAAAAGTTAATTTGTGGAATTTATTTCCTTCTTAATACGTTTGAGCCAATCATTTTACATTTAAGTCCTTTAGCAGACGCTCTTATCCAGAGCGTCTTACAGTTAGTGAATGCATATATGTTTGTTTTTTTGTTTTGTCATACTGGCCCCCCGTGGGAAACAAACCCACATCCCTGCCGGCCAAACCCTCCCCTACCTTGGACGACGCTGGACCAATTGTGCGCCGCCCATGGGTCCCGGCTGCGACAGAGCCTGGACTCGAACCAGGATCTCTAGTGGCACAGCTAGCACTGCGATGCAGTGCCTTAGACCACTGCGCCACTCGGGAGTCAGTTGTGTTGTGACATGAAGGTCAGTGATAGTCCCTGATGGTTTTTGCGACTGCACTTGAAGAAACTGACCTTCATGTCAATCTGGAAAATGTCAAGAACTTCAAAAGTTTCTTCAAGTGCAGTCGCAAAAACCATCAAGCACATGATGAAACTGGCTCTCATGAGGACCGCCACAGGAAAGGAAGACCCAGAGTTACCTCTGTTGCAGAGGATAAGTTCATTAGAGTTACCAGCATCAGAAATTGCAGCCCAAATAAATGCTTCACAGAGTTGAAGTAACCGACACATCTCAACATCAACTGTTCAGAGGAGACTGCATGAATCAGGCCTTCATGGTTGAATTGCTGCAAAGAAACCACTACTAAGAAGAGAGTTGCTTGGGCCAAGAAACACGAGCAATGGACATTAGACCGGTGGAAATCAGTTCTTTGGTCTGATGAGTCCAAATTTGAGATTTTTGGTTCCAACCGCTGTGTCTTTGTGAGACGCATAGTAGGTGAATGGATGATCTCTGCATGTGTTGTTTCCACCGTGAAGCATGGAGGAGGAGGTGTGATGGTGTGGGGGTGCTTTGCTGGTGACACTGTCAGTGATTTATTTAGAATTCAAGGCACACTTAACCAGCATTTGCACCACAGCATTCTGCAGCGATACGCCATCCCATCTGGTTTGGGCTTAGTGGGACTATCATTTGTTTTTCAACAGGACAATGACCCAACACACCTCCAGGCTGTGTAAGGGCTATTTGACCAAGAAGGAGAGTGATGGAGTGCTGCATCAGATGACCTGGCATCCACAATCACCCTGGTTTGGGATGAGTCGGACCGCAGAGTGAAGTAAAAGCAGCCAACAAGTGCTCAGCATATGTGGGAACTCGAGACTGTTGGAAAAGCATTCCAGGTGAAGCTGGTTGAGAGAATGCCAAGAGTGTGCAAAACTGTCATCAAGGCAAAGGGTGGCTATTTGAAGAATCTCAAATATAAAATATATTTTGATTTGTTTAACACTTTTTTGGTTACTACATGATTCCATATATGTTATTTCATAGTTGTGATGTCTTCACTATTATTCTACAATGTAGAATGTAAAGAAAAACCCTTGAATGAGTAGGTGTGTCCAAACTTTTGACTGGTAGTGTATAAAAAAATTATTTGATGGGCTTTAATGCTATTAGCCTATACAAAGGCATTGAATAACATATTCACTACATGGAACAACAGATAGTCCCACTGCTATTAGCCTTTACAAATGCATTACATTTTTACATTTTAGTCATTTAGCAGACGCTCTTATCCAGAGCAACTTACAGTTAATAAGTGCATACATTATTATTTTTCATACTGGCCCCCCGTGGGAATCGAACCCACAACCCTGGCGTTGCAAACGCCATGCTCTACATCCCTGCCGGCTATTCCCTCCCCTACCCTGGACGACGCTGGGCCAATTGTGCGCCGCCCCATGGGTCTCCCGGTTACGGCCAGCTACGACAGAGCCTGGATTCGAACCAGGATTTCTAGTGGCACAGTGCCTTATACCACTGCGCCACTCGGGAGATACGTTGAATAACATATTCACTACATGGAACAACAGATAGTCCCCCCAAAAAAAATCTAAAGAAAGTTTATTCGGAAGTGTCTGTCCTACATCTGAGAGATATAAGAAAGATCAGGAAATTATATATATATATTTTTTACATATATTTACTCCTTATTTTTGGCACTAAACAGTCTCCATATATACTTCCATAACTGTTACCGGGGGACCTTCAGACGAGAATTGTGAGGCCTGTGGGCAACCTACAGCAAAATAACCCACATGTATGTGTTCATATTAGTGTGTAGCCCAAACTGTTCGGACGCTACAGACAGAAGTTGGCAGATCGGCTGTCCCGAATTCAGACGAGTCCCAAGACGCTTGTGGGGTTCGTAGTGCAAAATGGAGAACACCGTCGTGTTCGTGAGAGTCTCATCTTTCCACAGAGGGGACGTTCGACGCTACAGATGATTTTGTGAGAAGACCGATTTTCAGGATGTCTCATGGTCTGACAAACACCGCTCTAGCTCTTTCACCTTTCACCACAGATGCGGAAGTGCAACATCAGTGGATGCGGTGGATTGAGACACATCCAATGCAAAAAACAGATATCTCTAGCTGAAACTGATAGATTTATATGGGGATATTTTTATTATGCTAATTAGATTTCCGCCAGGGCACGGACATCGACTCTAGTGGGATAAAGGGTTCATTCAAGTTATGTTCAAGAACCTAGATCCATGACCTGCATACTGTACATACGGGACATTTGTAAGTAGGTTTTTAAGAGTCCAACTAGATAAACAGAAGCCAGCTTGTAAAAGCCAAGTGTGTCTGTTGGCCTTGTCTGTGTCAGTGTTTATACAGAGATATCCGCTTCCTGACACTGAGTAGGAACAGAGAGGATTCATGCTCCTCACAATCAGTCTGTTATAGTAAATGAGAACTGGATCTCAATTCACTTGCCTGTCACTGCAATGAATATAATATCCACAAAGTGCATTTACCTCCGTACCTTCAGGCTCTGATCAGTCCCTACACCCAAACGAGGGCATTGCGTTCATCCACCTCTGGCCTGCTGGCCCCCCTACCTCTGCGGAAGCACAGTTCCCGCTCAGCCCAGTCAAAACTGTTCGCTGCTCTGGCACCCCAATGGTGGAACAAGCTCCCTCACGACGCCAGGACAGCGGAGTCACTCACCACCTTCCAGAGACACTTGAAACCCCACCTCTTTAAGGAATACCTGGGATAGGATAAAGTAATCCTTCTACCCCCCCTTACCCCACTCCCAAAAATAAAATAAAATAAAAACAAATACATATTGTAAAGTGGTTGTCCCACTGGCTATAAGGTGAATGCACCAATTTGTAAGTCGCTCTGGATAAGAGTGTCTGCTAAATGACATAAATGTAACTGTAAATGTACAAAAGTGGAGGGAACACAATATAGCACAATAGAGATCTCTGATAAGACATTGAGGAAATCACAATACACATCTGCCTGTCATCTTTTGAGCCAGTGTTATATTGCCGACAGTTGTAGTATCAAGTATGTCTCTCTAGAGGGTTTAGTCTTTGACCTCTGTGTGTCTATCAGCAGCCACTCTTTTGTCTGTTGCTGTGACAGCTGCAGGGTGACAGATGAGAGGGGTATTATTAATAGCTCTATCTATCAACCGTACTTAGAGAGGGACAGGGGACCTTCGCCCCTGCGCATTCCAACACTCACTATGTCACCCTGCAGTCAGTCATCCATCACCTCGCCTCCAGCTGTCAGCATCACAACGTACCACAACACAGCTCAGCTTCCCACAGTGTGTGTGTGTGTGTGTGTGTGTGTGTGTGTGTGTGTGTGTGTGTGACGGCACACTGGAAAAATGTCTACTCACGCTTTGCAGCTGTTAGCAGTCCAGCCCCTGATAGAGCCCCTGGTTATCCCTCTCTCTGCATGGCCTGTCACTCTGTTGACCAGTGGTGTGTGTGTGTGTGTGTGTGTGTGTGTGTGTGTGTGTGTGTGTGGTGTGTGTGTGTATATCTGTACGCATGTGTGGCCGGCTGCCTCTGGAATTCCCCAGTGTCCCAAGCACACAACGCTGCATACCCCTCTCCTCTACACTTCTCACCACTTTCCTCTCGCTCTCATTCTTCCCCTCTTCTTTCCTCAAGTTGCTGGAAACCTACTCCCCATCTGCCCAAACTGATTCTATCGACCGTCATGGTTTTGACCATAGTAAGGAGGCAAAATTGAAAAACAGGAGAACTTGAAGAATGTTCCACACCTCACTCTCCAAGTCCTGATATCTTCCCTCGTATTCTGATTCACCCCTATCATATCTCTCTCCTCTCTCTCTCTCTGCTCTCTCTCTTCTCTCTCCCCTATTTCCCCCCCGGTCCCCAAATACCTTTATCTGTTTTCTCTGCTGTCTTTTCTCTCTTTTTCCCCTTTCCTCTTTCTTATCCTCTATCTCCTCTCTTTTTTCCCCCAATCTCTCCAGGCCCCCCAAAAAATCTCCCCCCTTCTTCTCTCTCTCGGTCTTGTATTCCCATCTTCCCTGCCCCAAAACTCCCCGTTCTCTTTTTTTCTTTTTTGTTTCCCCTTTGTTTTCCAACCGACCCCCTGCCAAAAATTTTTCTTTTGGGCTTTTTCATTTTTACCTCATTCGGCCCCCCTTCTAGAAAAACCCCTGAAAATATCAGGGTATGTTTTTTCATTTTATTACATTTTTTTGTGTATAAGTCCCCCGATTTTCCACTTTTACCAAGTAGGGGGGGCCAAACTAAAAATGCAAATTTAAAAGGGGCTAGAGAAGGGTCTTGGGTTTTACTGGTCCAAATTAGATCGAAAAAAGAAGTCAGGAGGAATTTTCGGGTTCTCGTTTCAATTTGAAAGGGGAAAGAAATACTATCCTATTCCCCGTAATAATGACCTCCTTTTCAACCCCTTTTCCCAAAAGTCTCTCCATCGCTGTTGTCTTATTTCTCTTCTTCCCCTCCTATCCACCCTTCTCTCTTTTATATCTCCCTCTTCCTTCTCTCTCTCTCTCTTCCTCTGGGCTGCACTTCTCGAAACTCTCTCGCTCTCTCTTCTCTCTCACTACACTCTCTCTTTTTGGGCTCTCTTTCTCTTCTCTCTCTCTCTCACTCCCCACTCCGTCTCTGAGCTATCTTCTCGTGCGCTCTCTCTCTCTGCCCTCCCCTATCTCTTTTCCTTCTCCTCTCTCTAAAACTAACCTAGTTTAAAAAAAGGGGTTTTTAATTTGGTCCAAAAAAAAAAAATATAAACTAAACCCCCTGTTTAAAATCCCCAGCTTTTTAAAGGGGGCGGGCGGATGTTGGAGACGGGGGCTCGTGTTCTCTTTGTTTTAAACCCACCCCTTTGACCGCTAAGGCAAAAGCCCGGACACCAAGGGACCTGATATACACACAATGATGCATGAAACAAGTGCCACAGAATTAATACCCCCAATGTGGAAAAAAAGGGGGGTTTTATTCACTCTGAACTTTTATAAGACATGTAAATTCTTTACTTTTACGTTTTTTAATAAAAAGTGCCTACAATGTAGTACAAGTTTTGCCGAACTCCTAAAAAGGGTACATCAGTTTTTCATGATTGATACGTGGCTCTGGGGGATGAGGAAATGGGGGTTTTATCTTTTGTAGTTAAAGGGAAATTTTTTTCTGAGTGGATGTTTTGAATCAAGTATTTTTCGGGTCGATGATTGGATCAAGTTTGCAAAGAGTTTGGTTTGATGTTGTGCGTGGTAAAGTGTGGTTTTTCCCCCTAATTTGTTTTGCAATGTTGGAAAACCCAAAATTTTAATTTTAGTGCTGCGCTCGCACGCATGAAACCCCAAAACTAATTTTTTTGAAATTTTATTCTGTACAAATGTTTTTTCCCACCGTTTGTTATGACCAAAAAGAGCTTCTGGATATCAGGAAGCGATTACCACCCTGTGGGGGAGGGAAAAAAATTATTCACGATTTGGACGCAAAGGATACCTAAGAAAACCGCCCAAGGCCCAAACCCCCTTTCTTTTCGCATGAGAAAGAGAAGAGATATGGGATGTGGGTGGGGTCCCTTTGGAAGTTTCCGGGACGGCGGCGAGAAGTAGTGTAAATGCCTCTTTCCATCAATCCCATTAGCCAATTTAAATAATTTGAAAACCCTTGGTTTGACCAAAGTCTTATGTTTACGGGAGCGGGGGCGGGAACGAGGGCCCTGGATAACATACAACTCCCGGGATATACAATGGCCCTGTTAGCTCAGTTGGTAGGCAGGGTGTTTGCAATGCCAGGGTTGGGGTTTCGATTCCGGGGGGGGCAAGTATGAAAAAAAAAAAATGCCCCAACTGAAAAAGCCCTCTGGAAAGAGTGTCTGTAAATGAAAAAAATTTTTAAAATATCGCTAAGGGGCAGGATAAAAACCGGCTAAACCCCGGGTAAGACAAAAAGGGTGGCGGTTGTGTTATTTGAAAACAAAAGCTGGTGCAAAAAAATCAAATTTATTAAGGAAGTTTTGAGGTTTTGCCCCCTGGGAGGTATTCATGTAAGCTGTAAAACCACATTTATTACCAAGAGAGTTTTATCTTATTTTAAAAAACTGCTTTTTAAACCACCACAAAGTTTGCTGGCACTAAGTTTGCATCAATGATCTGTTTTAAGGCGTTAAAGTAAACAGGAAACGCTCATCCAGGGGCCAGCGCTCCTAGGGGCCCGGGGGGACTTTAATGCGGGGGGAAATTAAACCGTTCTACCTAATTTCTACCAGCTTTTTAAATGTGCAACCAGAGGGAAAAAAAAATTAGACCCCCTTTTCTCCCCACACAGAGATGCGTACCAAAAACTCTCCCCCGCCCTCCGTTTTTTTGGGCCAAAAACTTTTTAAAACCCCTAACTTAAACCTCTGATTTCCCGCCCTTTTAAGAAAAAAAAAAAAAAAAACCTTTAAAAAGGAAAACCAAACCCGTGCTTTGTTAAAAGTGGTTTGGCCTGATACCGGGAAAATGATGGGGACAGCCTTTGGGAGGAGGTTTAGAGGGTGGCCGTTTTGGTGCCCGGGGTTTAAAAACCTCTCCCCCAACGTATCAAGAAAAAGGAGAGGGGGTTTTTGGTGGAACAACAGGAAAAAAAAAAGTACGGGGGCAACGGGCCCCCCATTCTTTACGGAACGGGGGGTTTAGGGAAAGGTTGAAAAGGGTTCAAATTCCTTGGGTCCACCCCAACCAAAAATATCCGGTCCAAGCACACCAAGCCCGGGGGTGTGGGGGCAAACCAAGCCCTTTCCCCCCCCCTCCAAGGAGAACCCGCAATAATTGGAATTGCGGTCCTCAGATCCTCAAAAAGTTTAATTTCAAGGCTTGCCCCATCCGAAAAAGGAAACCCTCCCGAAATGGGTTGAATCCCCCCGGGGCCCGGTATGGGGCAAAACCCCCTCGGGCCTTCCCGACCGCCCAAGGCCAACCCCCCAAAGGGTAGGGTGGGGTACGGGGCCCAGTAAAATCACTGGGCCAAAATTTCCCGGGGAACCAGGAAACCCCTAAATTACCCAAAAAAGGGGGGTTTTTTTCCCCCGGGGGAAAGGAAGGGGGTAAAAAAAATTTTCAAAGACTTCCCGCCCCCCAGGCATTAAATGTTCTCCCCTTTTTACCCCCACGGGCAAAACGGTAAGGAGGTCAAATCTAGGGCCAAAAAAGGGTTCTTAAAAGTTTACCCCAAACCATAAGACTCCGAATTTCTAAAACATGGCTTTCCCGGAATTTGCATTTCCCCCCCCCACCCCCCTTTTTAAATTTCTGCTACTCTTTTTTAATTTTTTTATGGCATTTTCATTTTTAAATCCCATTCCCCCCTTTTTTACATATTTCCTCAAAATTTCCCAAACGATAAAATGTTGCCCCGCCCCCATGACTTGTACCGGTTTCCCTTGGGATAGGGGCCCCCCTACGGGTTTTTTTTATTTTACGTTTTTTATTTTTTTTTTTATTTCTTTTTTTTTATTTTTTTTATTTTTAATTTCTATGTTTACTTAAAAACTTTTTTTTTTTTTAAAAAAATGGGGATTTTTGGTTAAGGGCTTTTTAAGGGAAAAATTTCACTTTTAAGCTAACCTGTTGTATTGGCGTATGTGGCCCAAAAATTTTATTTTTTTTTATTTGGGAAATTTTGAAGACGTCTTATTTACTTTTACAAACCTGAGCAGGGTTTTAACTTCCTTACTCTATCAAACTTTCTTAAAAGGTTTTAAAAGGCTTTTTAATTTTTCAATTTATAAATTAAAACCGGGAATTTGTTTGCTTTAGATAAGTTAAAATATTTACGGGGCAAGAAAAAGGGAACCACCCAACTAAAGAAAGGGGAAAGCCCGGGGCCCGAAAAAACCCAAAAAAGGGGGAACCCCCCCAAACCCGCCAGAAAACCAAAAAAAGCACCAAACGGGCCCCCCAAAAAAACCCCGCCCCCACCCCCGAAAGGGGGGCCCCCCCCCCAAAAACCCAAAAAAACCCCCCGCCGGAAAACCCCACCCCCCCCCCCAAACCCAAAAAAACCCCCACAACCACCACCCCGCCCCCCCCAAAAACCAAAAACCGCCCCCCCAACACCCCAAAACCACCCCTCCCCAACACCACAACCCCCCCCCCACCACAAACACTCCCCTCCCTAAAACCCAAACCCAACCCCCCCAACCTCCCCCTCCCCCCCAAAAAAACCCCCCCCCTCCCCTTTTTCCCCAAAAACAAACCCCCCTCCTCACCCATCAATTTATCTCCCCTCCCCTTTCCCCCCCAACCCCACCCCCTCCCCATCCAACCGCTCCCCCCCTCCCCTCACCCCCCAACACCACCAAACCCCCCCTCCCCACCCCCCTCCTCTCCCCCCCCCCCCCCCAAAAAAAAACAACCCCCCTCCAACCCCCCCACCCCTCTCTCCCCCAACACAAACCTTCCCCCTCACCATTCCCTCCTGGGCCCACCCCCCCCTCTTTTTAATCCCAAAACCCCCCACTTCCAAAATTTTGGGCCTGGAAGGGAACCCCCACCTGACCCCCGACCCCGTGTCCTCTTAACAGGGGATCTATCCACTAGATGGAGGCTTTTAGACAAGGGGGGGAGTGGCCCACAGTTTAACCGAGTCTCTTTTAAAGATAGCCCCGTGCCCTAGAGGAACTGGAAGCTTTTTTTGAGCCACCTTTGAGGGGCTAGAAGGTGCTCCCAAAAAAG